ACTGTATATATATATATATATATATATATATGATCAACTTATTGCGGTTGTCTAGAAGTAATATTATATAGTAATACACTTGCAAGAACCGAATACTAATGCACAATGTTCAGCAATCACGTATAATTGTTATGGCATTAAGGGAGTTTTGGCTCAAGGTTTTGCTCTTGATTTTTTTCCTCCCAAATCCTCAAGGACAAAGTCTGAGTTTACAAGGTTTATTTGGCACAACAAGTGGCTGTGGTGAAGGCTGAATGAGATAAGATGGAAAGGTTCTCATGTTACTGCCACTTTAGGGTGAATTGTTTTGTATTCCTCAGTCGCTGTTAATACAAGTGCATGCTAAATTAATAAGTGTATCAGATATGATCAGTGCTACAGTGCTGAGCACAGTGTGTTTTACAGGTTTGACTCAGAGATTCTGACGGAGGGCTATGTGGATGAGAGCGGAGTGGGTCACTGTATCACTCCTCTGCTCTACGAGTTGGGCTGGATCTCTTTTGAGGTGTCCACAGATGGAGTCAGCTTTGACAGATCAGGGCGGTGGCTCTCAGGTGAGCTACAGAATCATAATGCACACTGAGGGAAAGTCAATGAAAGTGTACCTTATTTGCATACTTCTTATTCATCAGTGAAAGTTATCCCAAATAATCTGATTCAAATGCATGCCGTTTCAAAAGTATTGTGACATTATTTGTTAACCTTGGAGACATTTCTTTTGAATGACTTGCATTCCTTTCTAGAACATTCTTTCAGTCTTGTTCCTAGCTAATATCAGTTATGTTCGTATGGTTATTGCATAGTGGCCTGATTAGATATTGTTGTCAGACCTCCTGAAGCATATGCTATTAGCAAGTTCACTGCAATATTTTAGTTTTAATGTAGAAGAGTTTATTTTTAAGATAAGACTGATTGATGCTCTGTCTGATTGATTAGTCCACCACAGTAAGCTGGGTCCTGATTACAAGATCATTCTGGTCAATGACAAACAGTGGCAGTACTACGGCACTCCTGACGTCAGCGGGGATCTAGAGATGATCTGGATCTCATCTCTAATAAAGGCAGAGAGAGTCAACATCGAGCTGTGGGGTTACAATGAGACTGGTGAGTCCATCCAGCCATCCACTAATTTTTTGTTCATTCTGTCTGTCATTCTGTAATTCTGTCTGTCGGTCCTTCTTTTTGTCTGCCTTTTGTTCTGTTTTTCTGTCTGTCAGCTGTTGTGTCTTTCTGTCTGATGGTTGTTACTACTTGTAACGAAGTGTGTACTACTTGTGCAATAATAGTGTTGTATCGTATTATTTCTGTCTGTTGTTCTTTCTGTCGGTTGTTTGTTTTGTCATTCTGTCTGTCAGTCGTTCTGTTATTCTGTCTGTCAGTTGTTCTTTCTGATGTTTGCGTTGCTCTATTATTCTGTCTGTCAGTTTTTCTTTCTGTCGGTCGTTCATTTAGTCTTTCTGCATGTCTATCATTCTTTCATGTTGTTCTTCCTGTCAGTCGTTCATTCTGACTTTCTGTCTGTTGTCTTTCTGTTTGTTTTGTTTTTTTCTTTCTGTTATTCTCTCAGTCAGTCGTTCAAAGCTAACACTCATGTTTCCTAAAAAATATCTCCCAAGGGTAACATGTATAGCGTGAAAAGTAACGGTCCTAGTACTGAGCCTTGAGGTACTCCATACTGCACTTGTGATTGGTATGATACCTCTTCATTCACTGCCACGAATTGATGGCGGTCAGATAAGTACGATTTGAACAATGCCAATGCACATAATTTTCTAGTCTATTCAAAAGAATGTCTGTCATTCCTTCTGCCTTTCTGTTTGTTGGTCTTTCTGTCTTTCTCTCTGATGGTCAATCTGTTGTTCTTTCTTTTGGCGTTTCTGTTTGTCTGTCTTTCAATTTCTTTGTCTATATATCTGTCTACCAGTCTGTTTATCATTATAACTGTCTACTGAAAATGCATACAGGAGATAATATATTATTATGATAAACTAACAGGAGAAGTGTATTCTGCGAACTGGGAGGCGGAGTGGAAGTATCTGTACACCGTGGGCAGGGATGTACCCAACAGTGGAGTTTTCAGTTTCACCCCACAGATCGCCGAAAAACCATACTTCCTTTGGGACATAGGGAGCATACGGGTCAGCCCTAACACTAAACCAGATGGAGCCCAGTAAGAACTGTTATTAGTTAATATTAGACATGCACAGTTTTGGGAAGGTTACTTTGGAAATGTAATAGGTTACAGATTATAAGTTACCCTATTTAGAATGTAATAAGTAGTGTAACTATTTCAATTACTTCATTAAAGTAATGTAACTGATTACTTCTCAATTACTTTCCTAAATTTCTAACAAATGTTTTCAACTGTTAATCATTTTGAAACATTTAAACCAAGCCGGGTTAACCTTACAGTAGACTTCTGAAATTCTTCATCGCATGAATTAAGATCATAAATCATTTCATTTTAAAGCACAGCCACCACAAAATCAGACTTTAGAACCTCTTTTTACCTTATGATCATTCTGAGGTTAAATACATATTTAAAATCATAACAAGATCTGGTTTAATAGCTATGATACTGTTTTTGAAATCAATTCTTTGCATAACTATGACAGGAAACACTGGCATCAGTGTCTTAAAAAACCTTAAAAAATAAAGCATATACATAAATCCAAATAGGAACTAAAACAGTTATCAAATAAGCATGTGTCCTAAACTCCTGAAACATTGGTGTCTCATATTTTAGAGCAGTCAATGCAATTTGGGAAAGAAATCAATCAAACATGTATGTTTGAAAAATATTCAGATGTAACCCCCCCTTTGTAATCGTTAACATTTTAATAAGTAACTGTAATTTAATTACACTTTTTTTCTCAGTAACTGTAACAGGTTACAGTTACATTTATTGGTAACACTTTATTTTAAGGTGTCCTCCTTGTTACACGTTACATCTACTTACTATTATAATAACAATAAGTTATGCATAATTACATGCAAGTAACCCTAAGCCAAACTCTAATCCTAACCCTAACCATATAGTAAGTACATGTATTTAATTAATATTACTCAGTACTTAAATGTATAATTACATTGTAACAAGGACACCTTAAAATAAAGTGTAACCCGTTTATTTTGTAATTAAATGATGTATTTATGTTACATGTAACTAGTTACTCCCCAACAGTATTAGTATTTGTTTTTATAGTTTTTATAATTAAATGGTGTAAAATATTATGGTTCCAGTATCCAAATGTTTGAATAAAGACATTCTTTTTTTGTGTGTGCAGGAATGTTAACGCCCTGTGGAGTGAAGCGCATGCGATCGCCTGGCATCTTGAGGAGGCCTTCAGGATGGACTCTGCAGGCTGGGCCCTGGAGAAGTGCATCAATTGGGATAAAGAAGAGAAAGCAATGCCCAACTTCCTGACTGAGATCACCGATTGCCCCTGCACATTGGCCCAGGCCCGTGCTGACACCGGAAGATTTCATGTAGGTGTAGAGCAATAAATCAATCTGACATTGTTTTAGACACCACAGTGTGCAACACTAGCAACATCAGAATTATTTGAGAATTCCACCCATTTATATTTGTAATCATAGATGCATTGGTGAAACCGCTTTAATTAAACGTAATATAGCTACATATATTTAAGTGTCTATATTAGAGCTCCTTTTGATGAGTTGTGTGTTTATTTTTCAGACCGATTATGGCTGTGATATCGAGGCAGGTAGTTTCTGTGTTTACCATCCAGGTGCGGTTCACTGCGTCAGAGCCATTCAGGGCAGGTAATATGTCAAGTCACCTTTACTTCTATAGCGGTTTATGCAACACAGATTGTGTCAAAGCAGCTTAGTGATAAACATGAAAATAGCAGAATCAAGTATGGAAACTTAACTATGGAGACTTACTATAGACTTAACTATAGAGATACAGCAAATTCTGCTGTACAAGGACAATAGCTTGAGTCAGTTCAGCATACACGATAAATCATATTTAACTGTGATCGCGATTTCTGCTTCTCTCGATATATTAAGCATAATCATCTGCGATATTTGCCCACTGGTTATTTATCCTGAAACAAGCCTTTCGCTTAAATCGATGCATTTTCTGCCCAATGGTTTACTTAATTTACCTGGCAAACATTATGGGAAAAGCGCTGATGATCTGAAAACGCCGGCAAACAATTTGGTGATTAGCCATCTCTATTGAGAAATTCTTCTCAAATATGTCTTATCAAATGTATATTTTTGTCTTTCAAATGGTTGTTTGTGCAAAATCAGTGAGCAAACCATCATGCAAGTTGATGTTCTCTTGATTTGTGCTTGTGTGTGATTTGATTTATTTCAATTCAATTCAATTCAAGTTTATTTGTATGGCGCTTTTCACGATGCAAATCATTGCAAAGCAGCTTTACAGAAAATTTCAAATTTCTACATTATATTTAGGAGTAGGTTATTAGTGGTGACTATGACAGAAATGTACAGCAAAAAATCATGCAGTTAGTTACAAATAATGCTTATTTATGCTTATTTCATTATTTTAATTACCTATTGACAGCTGATTTTTTTTCTTCATCTTTTTGTGTGTGTGTGTGTGTGTGTGTGTGTGTGTGTGCACATTGTGGCACGGAAAATGGACCAATTTTAGTGTCATTATTATTAATTATTTAAGATTCAATTAAAAAAAGAAAATGCAGATCATCTATACACAAGGTTGTAAGTACATTTTGTAATGTACTTACCCAATATATTGATCTATCACTAATTTTATTATTATTTTATGTTGATATCAGTGCATGTGTGTACATTAGACAATAATATAATCTCAAAGTAGACAGTATGCAGTGTCCAAAACTTAACTTTTTTATAATGCATTCTCATTCATGTAAATACATTTAATTTTGTATGTCATATTTAGTCTGTTGATGTATTTTTTGTCTTGCAGTCCCGAGTATGGTTCAGGTCAGCAGTGTTGTTATGACAGCACTGGAGCTCAGGTGCTCACGGGAGACTCTATCGGTGGCAGCACCCCAGACCGAGGGCACGACTGGGGCGAGCCGCCATACAAGAAACCACCCAGAGTTCCAGGATTCTCTCACTGGAAGTATGATGTCATCAGCTTCTACTACTGCTGCCTGTGGTCAGACAACTGCAGATACTACTTCACTCACCGCCCGTCCAGTGACTGCAGAACATATCGTCCTCCTAGAGTCGGTAAAGAAGATATCTGTAATAAATGTATTTTATTTATTTTTATTTTTTATATATATATTTTTTTATTATTGTTTAATGCTTTTTATTTTATTTTCTATTTTATTTTATAATTTTTTTTATACTTT